ATTTCCTGTCTCACAGATCATAAGAGAGGGGTACCAGTCTTTGCTGACTCCTTCCTGTCTATTCTTGCTTGTTACTGACATAGGCAGTGATGCCTTCCTGGTACATGTGTGTGGGGCTAGCACGGCTCACGGACCTTTGGACGTGTGAAAGCAGCTGAGCTGCACGAAAAGCCAATCAATGGCTCAGTCACTAGGTTGCTTGTGAGGTGAGCCTGCCACGTGGCCCATAGAAACCTTGCAATTTGGTGAAACGTGGTTACAACAGGCCTCGGTGAAGGCCTCCTGATACAAAAATGCTGAAGAGCAATGAGAGGAGTGTCTGTTCCAAGAGCCCTTCAGCTCTTGGACCCTCAGACAGAGGGTCTTTCCCTCATCTGGCTCGTAGTTTATGCTTCGTCCAGCTGCTTGTCCTTGGCCAAAGGATCCCTGGGGCGCTCGCTGGTGGGTAAACTGGACTGCTTACCTTGAAGTCGGTGGTTCAGACTCACCAGCTGCTCCTTGGGAGACAGATGAGTTTATCTGCTCCCATAAAGATTTACGGCCTGGGAGCGCTATGGCGGATCAGTGAGTTGCAGTCAACTTGGTGGCAGCAGTGGGTGGGGTTTCGGTTTGGGGTCACTGTAGGACTTTGGTTCTTTGTCTCTTAACTGGAGGCTTACAAGTGGTGAGCTAGGGTCCTGCTACCCAGCATTGTTCGGCATCTCCAATGAGCCCTCTTTTTGATTAATGGGGCTGTGGGGGCTAGCTCACTGGGGGAGGGGTTCCTTTGTGATTAGGTGGCAGGGCCGAAGAGTGGGGGTGGAATGGTCTGAGAGAGCAGGAGGACACCCCGTGTGGTAGAAATACATATACTAAAGCATTTTCCCCTTTAACTATTTTTCAGTATATGATTTGGTGACTTTAAGTTTGCCATGTGGTGCAGCCCTCGTGACGCTCTAGTTCCCAAACATTGCCATTCCCCCAAGCAGAAACTCAGTACCCCTTAAGCCATAACTCCTCCTCCCTTCAGCCCAGCGGTCTCTCCGCATTTGCCTCTTCTAGATATTTGGGCCTCTAGATAGTTTGTCTAGATAACTTTGCTCTCTGAATTTTCCTGTTCTGGATATTTTATATATGTGGGATCCTATAATATTTATTCTCTTGTGTTTGGCTTTGGGAGAAGGACAAGGCTTTCTCCTCGCATAAAGATTTACCATCTCCACAACCCACAGATAGAAGTGCCCTGTCCTATAAGGTTCTTGTGGGTTGGAATTGACTTTTTTTTTTAGCATAGGACCAGGTAGTGTTTTATTCTGTTGTGCACAGGGTTGCTATCTATGTGCAGAAATGGTCTCCATGCACTGAGCAATGAGGAGGCATTCAGGTGGGTATATTTTGAGTCCTCACTTTAGTAGAGGCTATGGGTCAAGTCATTTACCTTTGTTTCCTCAGGAGTATGATCTGCAGTTTTACTAGCCTCTGTGATGCCTATTTCAAAATAAGCATTACGATGACAAAGATTTACATGTGACCTCCTCCCAGGGGACGGACAACAGAAAAGTGGGTGAAGGGAGACGTCAGACAGGGCAAGATATGACAAAATAATAATCCGTGAGCTATCAAGGGCACCTGATGGAGGGGGGAGCGGGGAGGGAGAGGGGAAAAAATGAGGAGCTGATGCCCGGGGCTCAAGCAGAGAGCAAATGTTTTGAGAATGATGAGGGCAATGAACGTACAATTGTGCTTCACACAATTGATGCATGTATGGATTGTGATAAGAGTCGTATGAGCCCCTAATAAAACTATCACACACAAAAAGAATAACTTCTGATTTGACACTGTTGTTTTTTTTTGGGGGGGGGAGTTACATGAGAGTCGGACGTGAAGAGGGGGAGGGGCACGGGTGGAGGGGGAATTGACTTGATGGAAGTCAGTCTGGCTTATTTCATTCAAGTGGCAGCATGTCACATTCATTTCTCTCTGCCTGAGCGACATTCCTTTGTATGGACAGGCCTGGCCCAGTTTGTTTAGCCCTTCCTCTATTGAGGGACCCTAGCATTGTTTCCACCTCTTGGCGTCTGTGAAGAGTGTTGCAGTGAACACCTGCGTCCTTTCAAGCCTTTGGGGTGTACTCATATGTCACCCAAACCAAACTCACTGCCATCGAGTCAGTGCAAACGCCTAACAACCCCCCTGTGGGCTTCTGAGACGGTAAGTGTTTGCAGGAGTAGGAAGCCCAGTCTTTCTCCTGCGAAGCTGCTGCTGATTTTGAACTGCCAACCAGGCAGATCACAGGCAACACATAACCACTGCATCACTTATCTGTTCAGCAGTAGAATTTGGGCCTCACAGGGTAAGTCTTTCTTTAACTTTTCAGGAACCCCCCCACAGGGTTTTCCCCAGGGATGACTTTATTTGACCATCCAACCAGCTGCGGATGGGAGTTCAACTCTTATCCATCCTTGCCAGCACTTACTGCTTATTTGTTTATAACAGCCTTCCTGGTGGTAGCTCACTGTGGTCTTGCTTTGCGTTTCCTTAATGCCTAATGATGTGCATCTTTTCAACTGCACTTGGGCATTTGTATTCCTTCTTTGATATATGAAATACTCAGGCTCTTTACCCATTTTTAAAGGAGGTTGCCTTTTTGTTCCTGAGTTGTCGGAGTTCCTTTCATACCTCTGGATGTAAACCCTTATCAGATACGCTTCCCAAATAGATTCCCCTGTCTGTAGGCTTTGTTGACTTTCTTGATCATGTCGTTGCATTTTGTTGCCATTCAATTTATCTGTCTTGTTTTTCTTTTGTTCCTTGGGATTTTCATGTCCTATGTAAGGATCCACTGTCAGGATTAAATTTCTAAAGGTTTCCTTTCCTGTCTTACATTTAGATCACTGGTCTATTTTGAGTTAATTTTCATGTTTGGTGTGAGGTAGGAGTCGACCTTCATTCTTTTGCATGTGGATTGCCACTTATCTTAGCACCATTTAGTTAAAAAGAAACAAACAAACTATTCTTAGCCCGTTGGAGGGACTTAGTAACCTTAGTCCAAAAATTAGTTGGATTAAAAAATTTTAGTTTTTTTAATTATAGTAATATATATACAGTGAACCCTCGCCACTTCGCGCTTCGACTTCCGCGGCTTCACTCTATCGCGGTTTTTGCGTAACAGCACCCACTGCCTACACCCGCTCCTTCAGAGGAAAAAGACGGCGACCCACCTGTAGAGTACATCCCTTAAGTCATTTCATAGGCTATTGATTACAGTATTTGTAAGAACTATGTATAATAATACTCTATGTGAAATATGTAATACTGTAAACTAGATGCCATAAATAATATAATGAATAATAAATGATAATTGTAACGTCCAAAATGATTTACTGTATTTTCCCTTTTTCGTTTAATAAATTGGGTAATACGAGTGTAATGGTGACTAAAGGGTGTTTTTTCATGTCCTCTATGCTCTAACTATGAAAATATTTGATTTACAAATAAGGAATCCTACTTCGCGGAATTTCATTTATCACGGTAGGGTCTAGAACCGATTAACCGCGATCAACGAGGGTTCACTGTATAACACAAAACATTTCACAATTTAACATTTTTCACAAATGCAGATCAGTGATATTAGTTACATCAATCAGGTTGGGTAACCATCACTATCTCCATTTCCCAATTATGTCACCACCTTGAGACACGTGGCCTTTCAACTATATTTTAAGGACAATTGAAAATGAGCACCTCCATCCAGAGCTCCTCCATCCCAGAGCAGTGTGCTGCCAGCTTCACCTTGCCCATCTCTGTGCTGGGCTCCCTGGTGTAGATTGCCATCTGTGGATTGCCTTGACTGCTAGCTTCTCATTCAAGCCTTAGCAACGTTTTCCTTCTCTGTGGTATAGATTTTTAATATCCATGATAATAACCATGTGGGCTGCTTCCTGGGTGGCTCACCTCTGATTGATTCAGCTACCCAGTTGCATACATTGTGAGTGGCATGACCCAACCTCATTCACAATCCTAACCCTCTGATATTTATGCTTGTAGAATGTGAGGTTGTTTGTTTCTTTCCCAAATGGCTATATTCCATTCCAACAGTCACACCTGCTCGAGCCCATGGATCATCTGCTGTGGCAATGTGGCTATATCCTCCTGCTTTTGATGGTCACCCGTTTGCCCTTCCAGGTGTGACTAGGATGGTCCATGGTGGAGCCATGAGTGCCTCTGGGAACCTGATGGATTTTCTGGACGAGCCGTTCCCTGATGTGGGGACATACGAGGACTTCCACACCATCGACTGGCTTCGGGAGAAGTCCCGGGACACCGACCGACATCGAAAGGTATGTAGTATTCATCGAAGACGCGTTGAAAGGGACTCCTCCAGTTTGCATTGAACAGCATGCTTTGAGGGAGATTGCTGGCTACTTCTGTGCCACGCGCTGGGTTGGGTTTACCGCAGAGAAGGGAGAGTGGGAAAGGCGGAGAGATGTGTAATACCACGTCCTCTGGGTGGCGGCCGGGGGATAAAGAGGACAAGTGGTGTGGAGGACAATGAGGAAACACTGAAACTAGACAAACCATGGGCCAAATCCTGCCCGTGACCCTTATATCTTGATACATTTGGGGACGCTATTTCTGGGTGCTGTTTTCTCATCTGTAAAAATAGAGGTCATTATACCACAAATATGAAATGAGATTGTGTGTGTGTGTGCACAGATTCAAGTACCTGACGCTGTGCAGTCACTGTCTTTTCATGGGTCACCATCCAGTTATGTACCAAGTGCTGGAGATCACATAGGAGGCATAGGTAGAAGGGGACATGTTAGTTGGGGGTTGAAGGGTGTTTAAGACTTTGAGAGGCAGAGAAAGGGGCAAGGATTCTCCACAGCAAGCATGATGGTCCTGTTTAAGTCACAGAGGTATGATAGAAGATGGTGCATTGGGGAAGGATACTGGAACTTTGAGGGTCATAGAAGAGAGGAGTAGAGACTAGAGGCATGGATGATGGGGCTACGTGAGGGAGGACTAGGCCATCGGGCCAAGTGGGTGTTTTATCCCGAAGGCCATAGCTGACAACAAAGATGTATTGCAAAGGGAGAAACTGGAAGCCATGATGTTAGCTGAAGAGATAGAGGAAGAAGGTCTGGCTGTGGGCAGAGAAATGTGGCTGGAGAGAAGGGAAATGGTTTCAGGGAAGCACACACGCATGGAAGAGATGTGTCCAGACCAGGTGTCCTAAAACGCCCACGGGCCACATGCGGCCCACCGAGGACATTTATCCGGCCAACCGGGTGTTTTTGCCCCGTTTGTTTGTTTTTTACTTCAAAATAAGATATGTGCAGTGTGCATAGGAATTTGTTCATAGTTTTTTTTTTAAACTATATTCCGGCCCTCAAATGGGTCTGAGGAACAGTGAACTGGCCCCCTGTTTAAAAAGTTTGAGGACCCCTGGTCCAGACCAACAGCTATGTCTACTTTGCTTTCAGATAACCAGCAAAAGCAAGGAGTCCATATGGGAGTTCATCAAGAGTTTGCTGGATGCCTGGTCCGGATGGGTGGTGATGCTGCTTATTGGCTTGCTGGCAGGTACGTCATCGGGTACGCAGTGCTCCGATGGCCACAGCGGGTATGCCGATCCCCTGATCCCCAACGGACAGGGATGGAATTCTGAAGACGGCGTGTTTTGCTTCAACCTCATCCAAAGGGTTTGTTGCTTGAAATAGCTCAGCGCCAACTCTCCCTGCCATCAAGTCACTGCTGACTCAGCAACCCCTGTGTGTTTCCCAGACGGTAACTGCTTACAGGAGGAGAAAGCTCAGTCTTTCTCCAGAGCTGCTGGTGATTTTGAACTGCCAACCCCACAGATTGCACCCCGACATGTAGCCACTACACCACCGGTGCCAAACACGTGAACATCTATTTAATATCTCATCCATAGGACAGGCTTGTGACACAGCAAATCTAGCTGTCTGGAAAGCTGTAATTATGGAACTATTTGATCTCTTCACCTAACACAATTATTTCTCCTCCTCCTCCCCCTCCCCCTTCTTCTCCTACTTCTTGTTTTTCATACCCTATTGAGTTTTATTGAAATCACTACATTTTACATTCTCTAGTCCTTGGTTATGTAGAAGAATACAATGTAGGGAATTTTGAATAGCCAGTCTTAGGCCACCAACGGCTCTTATTAGTACTCCTAGAATGAATTAGACCCGTGTACAAGGTCAGTAGTTCAAGGTCATCGCTGCTCCATTGGGAAATGAGCTCTCTGCTCCTGTGAAGATGGATGGCCTCGGGCACCTTATCGGGTCATTATGAGCCCGGATGGACCCAATGGCTGCCCCCCACCCACCGCCCGCCCCCCGCATTCAAGGTTGGCTCAGGGAATCATTCTCATTCTCAGAAACTTTCCATCTTTGAAGAAGCCCTGGTGACACTGTGGGCTAGGCATTAGATGACTCACCGCCAAACTGGCAGTTGACACCCACGGCTCTGTGGGAGAAGGACAAGGCAGTTGGCTTCTGTTAAGATTTTGAACCTTGGAAACCCGAGGGAGCAGTTCGACTCTGACCCGGGAGGGCTGGTATGAGTGGAAATGGACTTCCTGACTTTGAGTTTGGTTTTTGGGTTGGTGCATCTCTTGTGTTTATAATCTCAGCGCCACATTTATGCGCAATCATTTCTGGAATGAATGGATGACTATAAGATGAGAAAACGGCCCTTTTCTTGTCAAATCACCTGAGTTTCTCATGCAGATTGTTTCTTGAACTTAGATCTTTTTAAGAGGCTCTGAAGGTCGACACTTAAGGATAAAGCCTATAAGCATGCTAAAGAGATCCCCTTAAATAAAAATGCTTCAATGTAACAGCATCATAATTACAGCTAGAGAAGCTACTAGAGACTTCATTATAAGTCAGCAGAATCCAATAAGTGCTATGAGAAGGCTGTCCATTTTATGATTACGGAGGATGGAGATTTCTGAGTTGGGTCCATAGATAATATTAGGGGCGGGGGAGCTTCATGGCCAGGGAAGGGCTCTGTCCCGCTTGGGGTGTTATAAAGGGCCAGTAGGGATGCTAGTGGCCACTGTGAATATCTCCCAGTCTGTCCTTTCTTCCCCAGTGGACTATATAATGGCTTAGTATATAATGGTCGTCAAAAGGGAGGAAGACTACCTCTCAAGGAGACGAGTATAACCCACCCCCCACCATGTTGCTTGACTGATTGGAGGTAGTTGTGGTAGGGAGTGTGCTGTGAATTTTGAGGTCCTTATTTAGAATAGATACAGAGAATCTTCTACGTATTGCTGCTTCTGGCTCCTAGGAAGTAGAAAGAAATAGGGCAGACGAAGAAACCTGGATTCTTGCTAGACTCACCAGCTCAGCTTAGCTATTTAGGTTTATTTCAGAACCAGACTGGACTTTCAGGAACAAATCTGGATTGTGACCTTTAACCTCAGGAGTCCTGGTGGCATAGTGGTTATGTGTGAAGCTGCTAATCTCAAGGCCAACGGTTCGAAAACCACCAGCCACTCGATGAAAGAAAGACGGGTTTTCTACTCTTGTAAAGAGTTACAGTCTCAGAAAGCCATAGGGAGAAGGCAGGAATGGGATGGCACTGCAAACCAATGGGGGCACAGTGGGTTTTGCTCTGTGTGCCAAGATGTATATAACAAAGGTCACCATTAAACCATGTCTTCAATATAGGTTTCAGTGGCAGTAATTGCATTCAGCATGTTGGACAAGCAGCACCACTATTCTTTCTACCCATTTTTTCCACCCCAAACAAAATGTTCCCTGGAAGCCATCTGATGGTTTTCATTTCCCCAAAATGTTCTTTTGGCCTGGTTGCACCTTGATAAAAGAGGTGGGTAGCTATGTCTCATTCACTTCCCCCCTCCTCGGGGAAATAACTCGGGGGTCCCACTGCCTGGCCTGTCACCCACACAGTGCTACCCTGGCAATTATTTTCTGACACCCGCAATGGAGACCTAGAAGCATCTCCTGCAGGGTGTTTACTAGAAAACTACCACTGGGTGTCACTGTTGCACCACAAAAGAGAGCTGAGGCCCACAATGCCGATTTAAAATCCCAAATCGAGACAGCAGGTGGTGCCATAGGATCAGAAATGACAGAGCAGGCCATGGCAGTATCTGGGACAGTTGGGGGATGGGGGCAGACTTGTTCCTGTATATCTTCAGGACAGACCCATCTCATCCCACCTTCTTCAGGTCTTTGTTTAAATGTCATCTTCTAGTTGTGGTCTTTTCTTGCAAAACTTGTTAGCCTCGTCCCGGGTAGTCAATGCCACTGAAGGGAAATGATGGACACCCGGTTTATTGTCTTTTGAGTCCACCAGATGGCGTTAGTCACACCGATTACTCTAAACTCACTGCCATCCAGTTGATGCTGGCTCATAGGGAGTCTGCAGGACAGGGTAGAACAGTCCCTATGAGTGACTGTTTATGGGAGTAGAAAGTCCCAACTTTCTCCTGAGCAGTGGCTAGTGATTTTGAACTAGGGACCTTGGGGATCGCGGCCCATTGTATAACCACTATGCCCTCAGGGCTCCTGTAGTGATCACACGGGGCACTAAACTATCATGGGCCCAGCAGAGAGAGCTTGTCCCTACTTCTCCTTCCAGGCCATCGCCATGGCCTGATCCCTACCCCCCCCACCCCCACCCCCACCCCGGAGTTTCTCTTGATTTACTCCACTTCCCGCCTCCATTGCCTTATGGCCCTTTAGATTACATGTCAGAATCCTTTGGAATTTGAACTCTGCCAGAACCTTCTCTGCCGGCCTTGCTGCTGCCAGTCTTGTCCCGGGGGCAGGATGAGAGCAGGTTTAAATGCTGTCAGGAAGTCGCCTTCCGCGAGGGAGATGGGAAGATCCAGAAGGGAGAGGACCTGGTAGAACGAGGTGGGGGGTGGACCCGAGACATGGGCTCAGTAGCTTTTTCTGATTGGACAGGAAGAGAAAGGAGTGAAACCCTTGTGGCTGTATGGGTGAGTTTGGGGGTGATGGGTAGAGAGTGTAATGAGGACCAGTAACACTTGGTAGAAAATTACCCTGAAGGTCTCCCCTACCTTAGTGACTGGCTGCAATCAATTCTTATGGAAAGAGACCCAAGGTAGCCTTCTATGGCTACCAACTGCATCCTATTTTATCCCATTTCTACTTATATTTAAAGGTAGTTTGTGGCAGCTCCACAAGCCTTTATCCACAGTTCCAAAAATTCCAGAAAGTTCTACTAAAATTTACCCCACGCTTTGCCAAGTTATGCTGTTATTTGGTGTCAAAACTTTCAATGAGCTGAAGTCACTGGAGTTGTGAGGCCTCCACTTTGTGTTTCCCTGCAGCAATGTTAATGTAGGTGATCGTCAGATCCTGCCCCAGAGGCCCTAGGGGGAGGGGTTCTGCCACTCTTGGTGTATGTAATCTAGTTCCCGAGCCTGAAAAAGATGAGTTCCCAAAGCACTGGTTTCTGAGAAGAGACCTATAGATCTCTCTCTAAACCTGAACTTCAGCCACTTGAGGCCTTTGGGGGCCCTCCCTGGGCGGCCGCTGCTTTGCCCTCACTGTGGATGGTAAAGCGCCTTGCATGCAGATGAATCACAACGTGCCCTAGGTAAGTGCACCCTGACTACCCTGGATGCCGTGCTCCCGAGGTGGGCCAGGGCGTCCCGTGGCAGTTTTTCTGAGTGGTCTGTGCTCCTTCTTGCAGGCACTTTGGCTGGCGTCATTGACCTTGCTGTCGACTGGATGACGGATCTAAAGGAGGGTGTCTGCCTATCAGCCTTCTGGTACAGCCATGAGCAGTGTTGCTGGACTTCCAATGAGACCACTTTTGAGGACAGGGACAAGTGTCCCCTGTGGCAGAAATGGTCAGAGCTACTGGTGAATCAGTCAGAGGTGGGTGTCTGGGTGGGCTCGCAGCAGGGAAGCACCAGGCCACGTGTGCTTTGGCCTGCTGCTGGGCAGCTCCAGAGTGTCTGTGTTTTCACCGTCCACTCTCTGCTCTCATAGTATCCTCGGATTCATACTAGTGGGACTTTTTTCCCCCTTCCTAGGATGGGAAGAGCAAGGAGTGAGAGGCAGCTGATGGTTTAGTTCAGTGCTAGATGTGTGGAGTGTAGGATCCCGGACGGCATAGAGGTTATACATTGGGCTGCGATCCCCAAGGTCCTGAATGCAGGGTCTAATGCAACCACTCCAACTTGTTGGAAAACTTGTTCCCGCTGTTTCACGCGCACATGTCTTTGTTTTGAAAGCCCGGTGTTTGCATTTACCTTTAAGGCTGAAAGGAGTTTGTTGAAAGGAAGAGGACATCGTTGATATGTCTTCTAATTGTGGAGACAAGTTGCCTTGCATTTTTTTAATAGCAGTCTTACTGGGATATAACTCACAGACCATACAATTCACCCGCTGAAAGTATATGATTGAACCACGATCTAATTTTAGAACATTTTCGTCACCCCCAAAGGAAATCCTCACCCCCATTCATAGTCACTCCCCATTTTTCCCCAAGCCCCAGGCACCCGCTCATCTACCTGCTGAGTCTCTGGACTTGTCTGCCCTGGACAATTCCTGTCAGTGGAATGAGACAGTGGGACTTTTTGCATCCGGCTGCTTTCATAGAGCATCGTGTTCTCAAGGCTCACCCATGGGGTCGTGCGGTTCTGTGACTCCAGTCCGTCTTATAGCCAAGTAGTTATTTACATTTTGTTTATTGTCCGTTGATGGGCATCTGGGTGGTTTCCACTTTTTCGCTATTATGAACAATGCTGCTTTGAACAGCCATGGACAGGTGTTTGCGTGGATGGGTGTATACCTAGGAGTGGAATGGCTGAAGCACGCGGTAAGTAGATTTCCTCCGTTTTCCATCGCAGTGGCCCCACTTCACCTTCCCACCAGTCCTGGCTAAGGACTCTGTGAGCTCTGCACTCTTGCCAGCGCTCTCAGTGGTTTCATAGCTCCATCCTTGTGAGTGTGGCGTGGTAGCTCATCGTGACTGATGGGGTCCCCTGTCAGTGCCAGCCGGGGCAGAGAGGACCCTCAGCTGTTTCTGGGCTGCGAGTGTTTCAGCTATGGAGGATATAGGGTGGGACACCACTGACGGGAGCCTTGTCTTCATGAAGCATAAAGCTTCAAAGCAGCATTAAAAAGCACAGCTCAGGAAAAGATTTCATTTCTAACCAAATGTAGCTGCTGCCATCGTGACTGTCAGCCACTGAGCCATTGGGAACCCAGGTGAGGGTGGGACAGGTGGCCAGGATTCATCTCGGGTCCTGTGAGGACTGCTGCTGCCGCCGCTGCTGTTGGCACCCACGTGACTGTGACTACAGCTCCCGGCCCCCTTGCCCCTCTCTTTGGCCCGCTTGACTTTGCCCAGCTGAGGGCATTTGGGATGCCCTCTACCCTTCTATGAAACTACTTTCTCAGTGGCCTTGAAAATGAATTCCGTCAAATTTCCCAAGTAGACAGGGATCTTGACCGCTCACATGTTCCCAGTGCTCTCTCTGACGCCCCCAAATCAGTGACCTCCTTGGGTGGGTGGGAGTGGGCTGATGGGGATTGGCCTGGCTCCGTAGCGTTTTCCTTCTGCGCTCCTCCTAGCGATCTGTTTGGAGGCGACATGGCCGTCTCGGTCTTTTCAGCCGCTTTTAAGATAGAGACTTTGGTTCAGAGAATTTCTGGTAGCAAGTTAACGTTAGTCTACCAAGGAGGGCAAACAAAACAAAACAGAACCAATTCCATTTTGACGTGGGTGACAGTTATCCCTCGGCCTGATTTCTGCACACGGAGCGTGTGAATAGGTGCTTGGAAAGGCCAGCACCACCTCTCAGACTGGGCTGGCGCATTCTCACAGGCTCACACATATGGCCGGGGACTCTTCAGTGACATCCCCGCCTACCCCCCGCCCCCGCCCTCCCCCTCACTGAGTCATCCAGATGGCGGCAGGAAGCTGAGACCCAGAGAAATGTGGTCTCCTCCGCAGACCAGGGCCTCCGAAACAGAACGGTGGGCTCAGGCCAGAACACGCTCCCCCTCGCAGCAGAGAATTGGGGACAAATGGTCCAATGAGTGTTTCTGAAGGAGATGGAATTTTCCGACGAGTGCCCCTCAGATGCTCCCCTGGAGGGCTTGTGCCTCAGACCCATTTTGCCAGACCCGCCTCCGGAGTTCCTCCCTCCATAGGTCGGGGCTGGGGCCTGAGAATGGGCATCTCGGACGAGCTCTCCCCGGTGACTGAGCCCTTTGTGGGGTGGGTGCTGGGTGGGTGGGATAGAGGCGTCAGGAAAGTGAAGAGAAGCCCCATCCACCAAGCGGGCAGTAGAGACCGGTTTTTCGGCCTCTCGCCTTTCATTGACTGTGGGCCAGTGGCGATCCCAACCCACTATTATTCACGATTTCCGTCCCACCCAGCGGAAGGACTATGTCAATAGCTCCTAGTGAAACACCGGCCCTGTGTTTGTGTGTGTTGTCCGTAGCAATAGCAGCAGCTGACAAAGTCACTAGGGGCCTTTTCGTTTCTCCCGGAGGGGACAGAACCTGCCCAGGCCCATCCAGGGCTGGGCCTGACGGGCCGGGCTCATGGTTCCTTCTTGTTCTGTGTCTGTCCCGTAGGGTGCCAGCGCTTACATTCTGAATTACTTAATGTACATCCTGTGGGCGTTGCTCTTCGCCTTTTTGGCTGTCTCCCTGGTGCGGGTGTTTGCCCCCTACGCTTGCGGCTCGGGGATACCAGAGGTGAGTGTGACGGAATGTCTTTTGGCCATGTGTGGCGCCAAGCCCAGTTCTAAGCCTTGAACACTTCAACCCAAATCCACACCAGTCGATTGTGGAACGCTGGCCATTGAGCGCAGTGGAGGGGCAGCAGGCACTGGAGTCTTAACTACTGTGCTCTGCTGCTTTTCTGGTGATAAAGGCGCTGTCTTTGCAAATCGGGCACGAGGCCCTGGGGCTGTGCTATGCCATATGGCGGATGACCAGGGGAGGGGTGTTGATGGTGGGTAAAGTTTCCTGGTGATTCTGCTCTTGTCGTGCCAAGCTTACAGCAACCTTAAACCCATGAAATTCTCCATGCCGCGCATGTCACCCTGCGTACCTTAAAGCCTCATGACTGGATTTCAGTACTTCCATGTGACTGAGGGGGAAGGAAGGGGGCCTTACCCATCAAGGCCACCACCTGAAACACAACTTTGAACCTGGGATGGTCTCCGGGGTGGAACGCTAGGAGGGACTGAACTGATTTCCAGAAAGCTTTGATGGAGCAGCATAGTCAGAAACAGCTTTTCGAAGTTCTCATTCTCTCCCTCTCTCTTACATATCGTTCTGTTGCTTTTTTTGCGGTGTTCCAAGGCTGGGCACTGTGAGTGTGGCCCCTGGGCTGCCCGCTCCTAGTGCTCATCCCCGGGGGGCCCACCAACTCTGATCTGGGCTCAAGCTCATGGCAGACTTTGGCCAATGGGACCACATGCATCACTCATCACCTCCAGGTGTGTGACAAGTCTAGGCAAGAACGGCCCAGGCCATCCCGCACCGAAAGGACCGCCCACCCATCTGGTTCCGGCCTTCACTGCCAACTCGCAGAATCATGAGCTAAATCAATACAGTTACTTCTTCTAATCTGGGGGTTCCACATTCTTGAATTCACCGATTCATTAAAATTATTCATGAGTCATTCGCAGACGTGTGCCTCTATCTATAAAGCGGCAAACATTCCCCAGCGGAGGTTGAACAAGCTGGTTCCATATTGGGTAAGTCTCTGGACCATCACTAAGACACCTAATGAGAATTGACTACAGTTGTTTTTCTTTTACATCAGTACATTTTTGGGGTGTTTTGCTGCATAGGTAAAATGAATGAATTCATATAGTAACAGAAACATTAACAAAATTCATGACATGACACAATGTTTTTCCCCTAAGAAGCTGGAAGTCATATAGTGTGAGAGTTGGAGGATCATGCTGAGAAATAAAGGAACCCTTGCCTGGATGGGTAGACTGGAAGCACAAAGCGAAGGAAACTTGCATAGGTATTTTTGACATGAAACAGTATCAGGACAGCGCTAAGGTAGAAGAGGGATTTGTCATCAAAACCTAAAGAAGACTCTAACACAGTCCCTAAAATCAAAGGATCAATGCCCAGACCCATGAAGTATCACGTGGGGAGTCACGCAAAGCTGGCATTTGCATCTCGCTACATTATGTTATCTGGCCCCCGACACAGGAGCTTAAGGGCAAATGCTACCCAGCAAAGATGGAAGATAAAAGCGCTAGCTGGGATCCTAGCAGCTCGCAAAGCTAAGTACTAGTGCGCTTCTTTCCTTCCAACTCTGCAGTCACACGTGATGGATTTGATCTGCAGAGAATTCCACAGAGGGAAGAGAGGTACTGGAGAAGCCAGACCATTTTTAAGATCCTTTCCTGAGAGGAGAGGAGGAGGGATAGTTGAAGGGGCCTTCTCCCTCCAAGTAATGATGCCTGGAAAAAGCTAAAGTCCCGCTTGTTCCCAGTTTACATAGTGCTTCTGGAAGAGAAAGGACATCTGGAAGTGAGCAGTTATATTTGCTTGGACTTGGGGATTTGAAGCGGAACTGAATGTTGGTGTCTTTTCTACCTATGGACGGAATCATGTTTTCTTAGGTGGCTCTTTCAGTTGATGTTACAAGCCATTAACAAGCTTCCACCTCTTCTGCTTCTCAGAGAAGATTCTGGTTATAAAGTTAACACCACAGAGTCACAAATCTGCTGCGATACATCTACTCAAAGCCCTGCTGGTCTGGCCTCTATTAATCCCACTAAAAGCAAGGGATTGGGTTTTTGCATCTACTGGGAATGGATTTGCCTTCCCAACCCCTAATTTGGTCATGACAATTTCATAAAATCATTTTAGAGAATTACAAAAATACCTATTACATTGTTCCATTCACCACATGTCACAGCTGGCAAAGACTCGGGTAATTTAGATGTTTGTAATTTTCTAAATGGTATTACGCTTTTCAACTGTACCCTGGGGTCTGCATCCCCATTAACTAACTGACAAAAAATTGCAGATAATTCTATTTGAGGTGACAAAAAAAGGTCAGGATTGTGGCAGGCATAATAAAACATCTTTTAAATAAAGGGACCTGAGATCCCCAGAGCGCAGGGTTCAATTTGACTAACTAGTTAAAGACTAGTTTATCCACCGCTCATTTGTCTGCCATTAGTTAAAGGCTAAAGAAATATCTGGCCGTGAAATGAGAGCCCCCACCTGTTTTGTCAGTTGTCCTCTGGTGCCTTGGGTGTGGCTGTGCTATCGAAAGCTGCACCACTGGTATTTCAAATGTCACCAGGGCCACCCAGGTTTCAAAGGATCTTCCAAGCTGAAGACAGACTAGAAAAAAAGGGCTGCCAACCGACTTCTGAAAATTAGCCCATGAAAACCTGATAGATCACAAGAGAACATTGTCATACATGGGCTTGCCATGAGTTGGGGCCAACAGGATGGTGGCTAACAAGTATAGTGAGAAGACCACCTCATGTCCTTATAGGTATGATGACTTTACGATCTTGGAATTAAGCCTTATAGCCAGGCACCCTTGCTATACATGTTCTTATAGGAATCATGCCATTGATTTCGGGGGCTCAGAATACACATACTCACACATGCGCACGCACACACACACACACTCACCCTTTCCCTCACAGATTTCCACAATAACTTGTGAGATGAAAATCATTGTTTGACCCATTTTGTTCCCTTTACTTGCCATATCTTTCTATTGGACATCTTTCAATAGAAGTTCAATCCCAAAGAATGTCTTTTCTGAAGTGAGACCTCTGCAATTTCTTCTTCAGCATGTATTGTGATGTCTTAGTAGGGATTCTTCCGATTTACTTCCCGCTGGATGTTTGAAAGCTTTCTGTTAATAAAATATAAAGTTACATTATAAGGTAATGACAGTCTCTTGATATAATATGATATAAAACTATAGCAAAATAAAAATCAAGACTAACCTTTTCTGGAGCCGTAACTAGGTACCCTGAGAACCCCCCATGTAGAGGTTTGAGCTCACCCAGAGGTGGTTTAGAAGGAAGTTCTGGTGATGTGTTCTGAAGAATCAGCCTCTGAAACTCTTATCATGTTCAGAAGCACCAAGAGTCAGAATTACTGGACGATAGCTGGATTGGCTGTTTCCTTCACACCCGATTCAGTGCATCTAAGCTTTAAAAAAAGTGTTTTCCAGAAAGTCATTATATTTTGTTGAGCCTGGGCACTGAAGCAGCTGATTCCTGCCTCCTCCCCCACCCGTTCTCTCCTTCAGATAAAGACCATTTTGAGCGGTTTCATTATCAGGGGCTACCTAGGCAAATGGACTCTGCTGATCAAGACCGTCACCCTGGTGCTGGTCGTGTCTTCCGGCCTGAGCCTTGGCAAGGAAGGACCCCTGGTGCACGTGGCTTGTTGCTGCGGCAACTTCTTCAGCAGCCTTTTCTCCAAGTACAGCAAGAACGAGGGCAAAAGACGCGAGGTGCGTTAGCCTAGCTCCCACCTGCAGCCCCCTGGCCCGTCCTTCCCGCTCCTGGTCCTTTGCAGGAAGGGACTCGCTTTTCCACTTTGCCTTGTAGGTGCTGTCTGCCGCTGCCGCCGCCGGCGTCTCTGTAGCCTTTGGTGCCCCAATTGGAGGTGTGCTTTTCAGCCTGGAGGAGGTGAGAGGGGGAGCTTCAGGGATTCCATCACTCGTCTTTCCTTCACACCGAGACATCCTAATAGTTAGGTGACTGCTCACGGGCTTTTAAGACCCCTTTCTCTAGTCCCCAAAGTGGCATGTAGAACATTGCCTGTGGGGACTCAGAAACAAATCAGAACCTCGCTGCCAACTCAGAGTTACTTTGTGGGAGAGAGTAGAATTGCTGTGTGGGTTTCTGATATCATCCACCTGAGCGGAGCGCAATCTAACAGTCCATCTGTCCCTCCAGGTCAGTTACTACTTTCCCTTGAAGACCTTGTGGAGGTCGTTTTTTGCGGCCTTGGTGGCAGCCTTCACGCTGCGATCCATCAACCCTTTCGGCAACAGCCGCCTTGTCCTCTTCTACGTGGAATATCACACCCCCTGGTACATGGCCGAACTCTTCCCCTTCATCTTGCTGGGGGTCTTCGGGGGCTTGTGGGGCACCCTCTTCATCCGTTGTAACATAGCCTGGTGCCGGAGGCGCAAAACCACCAAGCTGGGGAAGTACCCGGTGCTGGAGGTCATCGTGGTGACTGCCATCACCGCGATCGTCGCCTATCCCAATCCCTACACGCGCCAGAGCACCAGCGAGCTCATCTCGGAGCTATTCAATGACTGCGGCGCCCTGGAGTCCTCCCAGCTGTGTGACTACATCAACGACCCCAACATGACCAGGCCTGTGGACGACATGCCCGACCGGCCGGCTGGGGTTGGGGTGTACACCGCCATGTGGCAGCTGGCCCTGGCCCTCGGCTTCAAAATCGTCATTACCATATTCACCTTTGGCATGAAGGTGAGTGAAGGGGCAGCGGTGGGAGGACCTGTGTCCTGGGCACAGCAGCTGACTCTTCACAATACAGCTGACGGGAGGGAAAGGGAGCTGGCCAGTACTGGATGGTCCCCTGTGCTTGCCCTTTAGAGCCTCCATTTCTTTGTAATCATTACAAAAAGCCTATGAAGTGGAGATGCCATTTTCCAAGTGAGGAAGAGCCGCACATGAGAGCTGAAGGGGCTTGCTCAGCCCCCTAGCGTGTCAGCGGTACAGCTAGAGTGGCAGCCACGTCATCCCCTCCCCAGGAGCTAACCCAGACTCCCCACCAGCTGGGTGGTGCCAGGTGGTGGGCAGAGCCGGGCTTCTAGCGAAGTCCAGGGCTGCAGACCCCAACAGGACTGGCTCCGGAAGGTCACATGTGCTCCGAGCTCCCTGACTGAAAGGAGTCAGTTGAGCCGGGTGGGGTGCTGCCCAAGGCTTGAGGCTGCCTTTTCTCTAGAGGGTAGGGTGACTTTTGTGATGGTTACTGAAGCCAGTGAGAGGACCTCTTTGTTTTCAGTGTATGTGATTGAACCTTGTGCGGCAATCACGTCAGACACTTTGAAAGCCCTCCCTGCAGAACTCTCTCTAATGGTGCCTGGCATTGTTACTGTATTTAAAAAAATTGAGGTGAAACACACATTAAAAATTTTTTTTGATAAATCATTTTATTGGGGGCCCTTGCAGCTCTTATACAACCCATCCATCCATTGTATCAAGCACATTTGTACATATGTTGCCGTCATCATTTCCAAAACATTTTCTTTCCGCTTGAGCCCTTGGTATCAGCTCATCTTTTTCCCCTCCCTCTCCTCCCCTCCCACCCTCGTAACCCCTTGATAAATTAGACATTGTTATTATTTTCATG